GAACTCATTGAGGAGTTCAGCCTTGTCCCCCCTGTCCGTCACCAATTGCTTATGCCCATTTAGTAGAGGTCCTATTCCACCCTGGGCCTTCCTTTTACTCCCTATATATCTAAAAAACAATTTTTTGTTATCCTTAACTTGGGCTGTCATCCTCAGCTCCATGGTAGCTTTGGCCTGTCTAACTGCCTCCCTACAAGCGCGAGCAGAGGAGGTATACTCCTCTTTAGTAATCTCTCCCCGTTTCCACTTTTTATATGCCCCCCTCATGTTTATCATTAGGCTTGAAAACATGCCTTTTCTCCATGTCCGTTTGGTACTCTGCTTGGAAGCATTGTGAGCCATCAAGTGGTACAATAAAAGTTACTTTTGTTTTCGAGTGGAGCTTTAATTTGTAAGTTCATAAGTATGAGTGGGACCAAGTTTTTAAATTTTTACTTAGTGTTTTTCAAGCTTTGGCACCTGAAATAAGGGGATTACTCCATACTTTAATCTTTTTAGCATGTTTGTATTTGTTTGCATGTATACAATATGTGGTTTAATACACTTTTCAAGTCCATTATTGGTGCTGTAGGCTTGATGGCTATTAACTATAAAAAGGTCAAAGATCTTCAATAAATTAATCTGGTAAAAATGACACAAAAAACAAGCACCTCATTCATGTAGTTTTCCTCTAAGGCAGTGGGGGCCAACATTTTTGGCAGATGTGCTACAAATCTGCCACTGTGCTGCATGTGCCACAGGTTGGCCCCCTGCTCTAAAGCATCCATTCCTGCCACTGAGACAGGATCCTGGGCTAGATGGACCTGATCTTAACTTCAAAAAGTATCATCTACAGCCTTGCTGGTTATCCCTTTCAAAGGTGGAATGTTGCTCATTGAGGGGGGGTGGGAAAGGCATCAAAAATAAAATTTTTAGGAAATGGCCTAGAACTGATGTTCTTGAATTTACAGGATGGATGGGATCTTTCCTTACCATGGAAATGACTGGCTGCAGGGAATGGAGCCATGTAGCTGCTTGTCTTCTGTGACCTTTGCTTAACTTGTAAGGTTGAATAGGCAGAATCAGAACAGGAGGCCTAGGCATTTCTGGTAACAGTGCTTGCAGAAGGAAATGACCTTTTTGGGAGTATGACGAGGAGATGGTGTAGGTGGATAGAGTACGGGATTGGGACTCATCTGGTTCTGCTGATGATCTACTGGATGACTTGGGTAAGTCCTATTACCTAGTTTCTCTCTCCTTCCCCACCCCTCCATCTGTACAAGAGGAGTGATCTGACCCTCTTTATAAAGGTGTTGGAAATTCACTGACAAAAAGCACATGTAAACTATGATTCTGCAGTGTTGTGGCTGGAAAACGAGCACCTTCACAAGTTCAGCTAAACTGTTTTGGAGGAGAGACTGAAATATATTTCAAGTGGGAGATTGGGAGCTTGTTTATCCTAGGCCCGCAAGAAATCAGCCATGATGGTAGTTTCATCCCAGCAGAAATGTGTCTGGTACAAAGTAAATGTCTTGAATTTAAAAAGAGGAAAAATAGTACATATGCCAGAGGGGGAAAGTAGAGGGGCAAAAGTAGATTAAGATATGCTTTTCTCTCTAATTGCACTAATAACACGTTAAATCACAGGGATCCCTTAAGAAAGAGAGAGAGCAGAGAGGTTTTTGGTTTTGTTTTTGTTTTTAAGAGTCTGGGTATTTTTTTCCCTTTAATTTTATAAATGAGAACAAACTCATTTTTTAGAGCAAATGATTATAGCAATCAAACTCCAGGGAAAAAGGGCTTCATATTAACAACCCATGTCAGTCTGATGCCAAATGTCATCAGAAGTAGCTGACTAAGTTTTTACTATTTTATGTATTCCGCTTTTAAATGTATTTTAATCCTTGTGCAGTCACCATCCACTTAACATAAAAGTGAATGCCTGTCATGCAGCATACTCTGAACCATAGGTTCAAATTTTAATATCATCCTCCCTAAGGATGATAACTGCAAAAGACTGTAAAAATTGATTAAATAGTATAATTTAGCTCATGCGCTCTGAACAAGGTAAGAGTTCGTTAGCTTCCCTGTAGCAATGAATGTTCTCATTACTTGGGAATGCTAGCTGAGCTGAAAAGTATATGCCATACTAATCAATAGTGAGTTTTAAGTAATCATATTCATATATTGTTTTCTAATCGGCAAAAGCCTTTCTGGACTGTTGTATATAAAGTAAGGCTGATAGAGATGCAATTGCTAAAGTCTAGAGTCAAAGGACTTGATCCCTTGGGGAATGAAAATAGGATTATATAAATATTAAGCATGGCTGCTGGACACAGAATTTGGCTTTTTGAAGTGGAGATGATGGAAGTTTGTCATTGTGTTACACTTAGGCCAAGGTAAGGCAATTTCCTGTGTTGCAGAGAACTATCCCAACCTGTCTGTCATCTTTGTCCTTAATCAGACAATGACTGTTGCATTATTTTTATGTTTAGTGCAACTGAGAAAAAACAGCTTGTAATTGTTCCAGTCTATTCATCTGATGAATCGAAAAAGCTTTTGATTTGCTACTTTAAATGCTTGACTGTTTTTAGTTGTATTTGCTCATTTACCAGGATGGAAGGAAATATCTTTCAGTCTGCATGCAATGATTTTTCTCTTGCACAGTCAGCAGTTATAATTCTCCAACTGTCAACTTGAAACAGCTAATTCTTTAGAAACTCATGTCAAGTCCACAAACATAAAAAAACCAACAACAAAACCCTTGGGTCTGAATAGACAGATTCATCTGGGTGCTTTAAACAAGCTATTTGGGCCATCTTCCCACCACAGTCTGAAAATTACTTTTTTTTTAAATGGAGAAATCCACAATTATATAGGTTGTTTTTCACCTCTTGCTGAGAATTCTGAATTGGCTTCAATTTATTCATAGATGTAGGGTTGGAAGGGACCTTGTAGTCTGACCCCCCTGCACTGGGCAGGAGAGAAAACTGGGCTCAAATGACCCCAGCCAGGTAAATGTCAAGCTTCCTCTTAAAGACCCCCAAGGTAGGAGCCATCACCACTTCCCTTGGAAGTTGGTTCCAAATCCTAGCTGCCCTGACTGAAGTAGTGCCTTCTAATGTCTAGTCTAAACCTACTCTCTAGTAACTTTTGGCCGTTATTTCTTGTTACTCTGGGAGGCACTTGGGGGAACAAGGTCTTTCCCAATCCCCGCTGGTCCCCCCTAGTAAGTTTATAGACAGTCCCTCCTCAGCCTTCTCTTGCGAAGGCTGAACAGGTTAAGGTCCCTGTAGCTTCTTC